GTGTCAGCCGTGGCCTGCTAGTAGAGCAAGCTCTTTGAAGATCGTAAGTCCCCTCTAGTCACATGTTTGAATCCATTTTCCCCTTTGCCTAATTTGTCGATAGTGAGGACGGTCCTGGAATAGTTATCGTTGGAGATAATAGCCTCCGACTATATGTATATGTATATATATATATATATATATATGATGAGTATATTTCAAGCCAAAACTAGCTGAATACGAATAAACAAATCTTTGTTAGTGTTCAACTCGTTAACTTAGTGAACGAGTTGAACACGAGCTGTTCATGAACAACGAGGCATTTTAACAGACCTACCTCCGCCAATCGTAGAAAGTTTTCATACAACATAGCTAGAGCGCATGATTGGTAACCTAAAAAAAAAAAAAAAAAAAAAAAAAAAAAAAAAAAAAGAGGTTTAGAAATTTAGCACGATTTTATTTAGGTATTTTGGTTTGCGATCGTGATCCACGTTGCTGCGACTGAGTCTCTCCATCTCAACAGCATTTGCCAAGCAATAAATAAGGCACAGTTTAAGCACGTTTTGACTCACTTAGAAAGTATCTAATTTTACAATGGGGCATTTACATAAATAGCACATAATTCTTATTTATTTCTATATCTCATATCTAAATTTTTATTTTTACACACATTACAATTAACTCATTAATATCAAATAAAAATGAACACTATTATCATTTTGTAAAAATACAATACACATTTTCATGCATGCATATAAAGCACCAAATGGTATGCATGTAAATATAAAAATTTCGGCATGAGACATGTAAATTGATGAGAATTATTTGCTATGTAAATATCCCTTTTATATTTTGGAATAATTAACTTTTATGTATTTACAAGTGTCAAGATCGATTCTTTAAGAGTTTGACAAAACTGAAGATTATAGAGTTTAAGTTGACAATTAAATATATATATATATATTAAATTAGAACTATTATTATTGTTATTATTAATGCCCCTAATATGAATGGGACATTGCGCCAATATGTATAATTTACATAATT